CCGCGACGTAACGAAAGTCTCGCACGGCACGCACAAGGGCTGGCTAGGCTGGCTAGTTGGCTGGTTGGCTGGCTGGCTCGGGTGTCGAGACGCGCAACCTCGAAACATCGTCCAACGACGGCGCCACGCTACGCTCGGCGTCGCGACGCTGGCGTTGACGGTGCGGCGAAAGTTCGAGACGACGACGACGTCAACGTCGACGACCATAGGGGTAAAGAGGGTTGCTGTTGCACTGACAGTGGCAAATGCAGCTACGGCCGGGGGTTTTGATCGATTCAATACGCTACGCAGTTGATACGAACAGCCCAAGAACTCAATCGTTTAATGGAGAATATGATACGAGTTGGTAAACCTAAGTCTCGTTTTAAAGAGCAGAATATTTTAAACGCGACGTAACTCTTTATTAGATAATTTTTTTTTTAATTTTAACAGAAATCATTGAACGACTTTTCATAAGAAGAAATGTTGCACTGTTTCATTAAGAAACAGCAGCTCTTTGCTGATCTGCGACGCATTAGAAACTATCTATTTTTCCTCTATATAGAAGAAGTAAAGAGTATAGAATAATAATAAACTCGTGGATAAACTCTGAACATAAGAGAAGACTTTATATAAGCAATTAACATTATTTGCGTTTATATCATTTAAGTACAAATATCGGTTGGAATAAACAAAATTTGTAAAATTAGATCAATTTAGGAATGTTAAATATTATTACAATCTTCATTAAAAAATGTTATTAATAAAAAATAGGAACACGTGGCTATTATAACTGTTCCTTTTGTACAATATGTATATAAGGAAAAAATAACAGACCAACTACCGAGTAATTGAATGGATGAAGAGATGGACGGAATAAATGCGTAGGTGGAGAAACTCTACACAACGTTTTCGTGGAAATATAGCCTGATTATTCGAGGAAGTTGAAAGCAAAAATGATGTAAGGCGTAAAAGCGTTCAATTACTTGATTTAAACAGCTTCAAAAGAAGTAAAATTAGAATTAGCCGGTTGATAAATCAACGATGAGTCAACCGAAATTGATTAATATACATGCGATTATCTCGAGTATTTTATATATAATATTTGATACTTTGTATTAGACATATAATGGAACTTCTTCATATAATGCAATATAGACATATAGATATATTTAGGAAATAACGCGTTACTTGTAAGATCAATATTACATGCGTCCGTTTTTTGTTGTACCACGAATTTTTCAAGCGTTTTCAATTGGCTGCAAGAGGATCTCAGACCTTTTTAAATGCCAGAACTCTGAACGAAATCTATAGAAATCGTCGGAACTATTGTAGAACTAATCGGAAAATGCCAAATAATCGACTAGTACTGACTGTTAAAAGGTGCTTTACTCTTGTGGTGTGGTGCCAGCGCTCAGATTAAAAAATTGTTTAAACATATTTAAATGCCAGAACTCTGAACGAAATCTATAGAAATCGTCAGAACTATTGTAGAACTATCGAAGAATGCTAAAAAGTTGGTTGGAACTGGCTGTTAAGTGGTACTCTTGACGCGCGGTGCCAGCGCGCGGGTTTAATAATTATTTAAAATTACTTAGAGATCGGAACTATTGTTAAAACCTATCAGAAACTATAGAACTCATCGAGAACTGTAAGATTACTTGGTTTTCAATTGATTTTTTCGAATATTGCGGTGTCACGGGAAGTTAGCACCTCAAATTTTCATGTTTTTTTTTTTTTTTTTAGCTAAATCAACAGAACTATTTAAAACACCTATCAAGAACTATAGAACTATTGTGGGTGGAACTCGTATCAAAACTTGCGATGCCAAAAGATGAGATGCCAACTTCACACACGTATCAACTTTACAGAAAAACTGCAAGAGACAAAAATCATTTATTTTCTTTTCATAAAACTCTAAGAATTTTTTCAGAATATTTTATCAACTTTTTAATAGCATTTTCTTATTTTTACCAACATTAGAAAATACGGCATTAAAAAATTCTGAAAAAATTTTAAAAAAATTATCAGAACTTCATGAGAAGAAAATAAACAATTTTTGTCTCTCGCTGTTTTTCTGTAAAGTTGATAGTATTTGAATAAAAAATTATTGATGACCAATATTCACAGCGATTTTTAGTAATTAATATCTCATTAACCATTGCGAAAATTGCAAAATCGTAGAGGACTTTTCGACTCAGTTTAGTCCGCTCTATCTACACAAAAGCGCTTGCAAGAACGTACGAGACACTCTGCATAAACGTAAATTGTTTACAATATGATAAAAAATATAATTCTTTTATAAAAAAAAACAAAAGATATATAAATAATATTTATAAGTAAATAACATTTAGACAACACAAAATATTAAAATCCATTTTTTAAAGCTTAAATTTGTTCGTTAAGTGCATCTACTTCCTTCTGAACCCCATCGATACGCATATATGCGTTTTCAAAAATTGTAAAATATGTGACACGTGATGTTGTAATTAATAAATTGTATTTAAAACCATAAATTAATTCTACATATGAATAATAAAAAAGTAATGTTAAATATTAATAAAAATTTTTTTTCTTATATGTATGTATTTAATTCCTATACAATATACGTTTAATGTTTAATACACGTATAAAAATTAGTATATGAAATCATATACGAGACGATCGTAGAATCGGAAATTATCAAAGAGTTTATAATACATACAGGTTGTTTCTGCAACATACACATCAGTAAGTCGGGTTGCCTATCTGTCTATGGGGCATGCTTTACTGGTAATGCAGAATAAGATTAGATCGTAAGTTCGGCGGAGAATGAGACAAGAGAAATTGAATTTTACATTCTGGTATAGTATCAATTCAATAATATTGTATAATATTATATAAAATATGTATTTAATAATACAAATATCTGACTTAATCTAACATAAATGAAATTTAATAAATATTTAAAAATATATAATTATACAATATATATATTATAATTATATATTTTTAATAATATTTTTTATAATATAATTATATATTTTTAATATGTATTATTGCATATGTATTTAATATGTTTAATATTATTAAATACATATTTTATATCATATTATTGAATTTTACACTATACCAGAATGTAAAATTCAATTTCTCTTGTCTCATTCTCCGCCGAACTTGCGATCTAATCTTATGCTGCATTACCAGTAAAGCATGCCCCTGCCCATAAACAGATAGGCAACCCGACTTACTGATGTGTATGTTGCGGAAGCACCCTGTACATAGAATAGGCAAAACATAGGGGCCTCTGTAAGTGGAAATGTTAAGACAATAGAAAGGGAAAGAATACGGGATGGCCATCTTTATCTCTAATGTTGTTCGCGCATTGAACTTTGAAAGCTGAGTGGGGCGGCATCGAGGAGGGGAAGTTTATCCTCCAACATAATATCATGGTCAAAGAGTTATAACTTCTTTGGTCATCTCGTTTTCTGTCTCTTTCTATTCGCTTACGCATTCTTTGCTGGCTCCCCTACTCTGTGCATATAATCTCTTTGAAAATTATACGTTTTTATAAAGACATATACGCCTAACATACCAAGATTATACCGAACGCGTGTTCCTAACGTTATTTTGTATGTAAAATTCCATGATGCTGATAAACTAATTATTTTTCATGTGTTAGGGTTAGCAACAAAATCGAAAACGGGTATATTTCGATAGTATACGTTCCAAGGAACATTTTAGTACCAAAAACTTGCGAGTAACAAATTCTATATATGTAAATTTTGGTCATAACGTTGCGACGCGCGACAATGCAGTTTTGATTATTTATCGGAATTTGTTTAACAATGTGATTTTTTTCGATATTTCTTTGCTATCCTAGAGCAACAAAAAAGCAACAAAATCTGGTGCATTTGTTTTTTTGATATCGCAGCTCTATATATATTTTTTCATTATGGG